TCGAAACCCGGTTTCTAGCGGTGTGAGTCCGCTGTGCCACTGGGGGCATATAGCCCAATGTGGCTTTGCTATAAAATAAACCGTTTAAAATGCATTCTGGGGGATGTATTTCGAGGCTGTTTCTATTGATTTATTGCACCCCCCCCAGAACAACCAATCCCAGAGTGGCCTGACATACAACACACAGTTCTTATCCAATGAACTCAAACCACCGATGCTGTCATAATAATTCATATGAATATTCACAAACATAACATATATTTATATGTATCCTAATCGTGCCGAATTGTCCGTATTGAGTAATCGTATAAAATTGATTTTGACGTTTATTTTCAAAATCGAAATTTCGATTAACTGCTCGGCAATATTAGTGAGTTTAAACTTCTTTTCTTTTTTTGGCCATTGTATCAATCTTAAACATCAAAAATAGATCATCTTAATTTCGGAAAACTTTGCTTGCGATATACAGAAAGATGTTTTTGTTTTAAACACCGCAGATAAACAAAACACCTGTAATTGTTATGTAGACCAGCATTGTTGGATGGTCGGTTTGTTAACAGGGTGGTCACGTGGATTTTATTTATAAACCACACATTTGTGGAATCAAAAATTCAAGGTTAATACACCCGGATTAAAATTCGATGTCTCAAAGTGGGTTCCTCGTCTGTGAATGAAAAACATTTTAACCTGTTAATGATTGTTTTCATGTTAGTGCTAATTTCATTGCTTAAATCTGATTGGTCACCAAAAATAATTCATTTATAATTGAAGAGAAATACTGTATATCAAATTCGACGACGAGGAACTCGCCTTGAGACTAATAATGGTTGGAGACGGCTTGAATGGGTAATGAAGAAAAACTTTAATATAACAGCAAATGTACAACTTTTAGACAAGGTTTTGTCATCGTTAGGTTTTGTCGAAACGTTGTACATTTGCTGTTGTGTTAAACTTATATTAAAATTTTTCTTCGTTACTCATTCAAGCCATCTCCAGCCATCATTATTCTTTTTTTTTATTAAATGACTCACTAAAGTAAATTTCTCTTATCTCTATGTTAGCTTAAATTTATTTCTTCAGGCATAGATTGAAATACATTTGAAAGTCAGTAAATGTTAAATTTATACATATTATTAGATTAAAAATACATATGAAATCTAAATTATGAAACTATTTCACTAATTACATAAAATTAACAAAATATGCTTCTAAGATTATGCTAAGTTCGACAAAGAATACTAACAGGCCTATATGTAAAATCAGATTGGAAAGTGGATATTGAATTAAAAAAACATTTCCTAGCATGATTTTATTCGTGTAAAAAAATGATAATAAGTTGGGAATTAATAAATACTAAAAAAAATGCTTGCAAACTTAGAATGAGGACACATTATGTTACCTTAAGTTATCAAAGTTTGCTTTTGGTAATTTCTGAACCACCTGCCATAGAGCTTGGAGTCTGGCCTGTGGAGAGGTTATTCTACACATGGAGAAAAAAAAAACACTTACAATGAGAATAAAATGTAAATATCAAATATTTTACAGCTGTATTATATTACTAATAACATACTAGACAGTAAAAATACAGTTCTTAACCAATTTACAAAGTTCTTTAATTCCTTATTGATTCTAAGACTAGTATCAACTTGTAATAAACTTCTAATTTTACCTCTTTTCTAGAATATTATCTACAAAGATTAACAGAAAAGTGGAAAACATACTTTTTTTTATCGTATTTGGTTTTGTACGAGCACGAATTCAATAATGTGCATTTTTTGAGGTCATAACAGATGTTTAATTTTACTTGGTATTGGTGTGTAACAAATTTTTATAGAGTTCATTTCTTACAACTAAACCTTGTTATAGAACTTTATTTACTGTGATTGAGGGATTAACACTGAGTTCTCATGGACTTACAATAGTGACAGCATGACTTTTAAGTACATTATCTGTTACTTATAAGACAATTATACTAAAAGCTGTGATCCATTACAGGACAAAATGAAAATCAGGCCATTTTTGTATCCATCACACAGCCTTTCTTAAACATTATATAAAAAAAAAGGAATTTAAATTTTGTCCAACACCAACCTGACAGCCTCTATCCATTCTGGATACAGGTTGTACGTTAGCAAAGGCTCTGGTAGTTCTCGTAAGTAGGACTTCAAGGCTCCTATAACAAACCATAATAAACTAAGTGATATGTCTAAGTGATATATATAGAGGACAAAACACATTTATTTACACTTGTACATGCAGTAAATTCTTGACAAGGAATTATGAATCCTTGATCACCAGGTTAGATCAACTTTAGAAACTTGTATACCAAAAATATATGCGAATATATATGCGCATATATACGTCTCAAATAACAGAAACGCAAATATATATCATAATTGTTTGTTATGAATTTCGCACAAAACTTCATGAGAGCTGTCTGCGTTAGCTGTCCCTAATTTATCAGTGTAAGACTTTTACCAACAAATAGTGGCACTGACCGTCACACTATAACATCCCCACGGCCGAAAAAGTGAGCTTGTTTGGTGCAACGGGGATTTCTACCCGTGACCCGCAAATTGAGCACCCGAACCACCTGGCCATGCCGGGCCATATATATCATAAACCTGGTTTCAATATAATAGAAACATATAAATACTTGTGTATGGAAGCACATTATTTTAATATAATAGTAAATTGACAAACAATTACTTATAAGCATAATGACATCTTTTGACATTATGTTCACCAAAACACTTCATGATTCTTATAAATCATTTACTATTAAACATATGCACCCAGTTTCGTTTTTTTTTGGTAAAAACCTTAGATTTCATCTCTTATTTTCTCTACCCTAACACTAACCGTAAGAAAATCACTTGCAGAAAAAGTTTAAATGTATGAAATAAAATCAAAGTACGTTTTCTTTTCCATAATAGACAATTACAATTCTTCATCCTAACCATTTCACAATCTCTTTCATTTAATCTTATTCTTTAATTGCTCTCTCAAATGTGTTTAATTATT